CTTGCTACTCGGTAAACTGTCAGATGTGCGCGACCGAGAGTACTGTTCTTTTTGTCGGCTGATCTGCCAGGGAATTTCGCCGAGAGCTATCTCAGACAAGACCAAAATCAGGTTTCGTCATTTTCCCTCACATGACTTAGGTTTCCATTCAGACCAACTCGCCTGGGGAGTTTCTATCCGTTTCCTCGACTCGCGAAAGCTCAGGATTCTCGACAGCAACAGTATTGATATTTCTCGTATCCGGCAATGGATAAGCGTCTGTTCGAAAGACCACCCAGAATGTTTGATCCCTCAGTCCACGTTTGATAGTGGAAATGAGATACCGAACTTTCGCGCCATTGACGTATCCCGCAGATGCATTGCATCAACTTCAAGTAGCGTCAAGTATGTCGCGCTTAGCTACGTTTGGGGTCAAGCCGGCACGTATCGACTGCTCAAGAGTACTTTGGGGGATTTAATGAAGTCTGAAAGTCTCAACAGAGTTTGGTCCAACATTCCACAGACGATTAAAGACGCCATTTCGTTTCATCGGAGAGAAGTTCCTTTGGGTCGATACGTTGTGTTTGATACAGGACGACGTTGACGACATGACCACTGGCATCAAGCACATGGATGCGATCTACGTCAGAGCGTTCTGCACGATCGTTGCCGCGAGTGGCGACGACGCGAACGCAGGTCTTCCTGGCGTGGGAAGCCTAGCTCGATGTACACAAAACGTCATCGAAGTTCATCCAGGCATCAGCATCATTTTGCAGCAGGGTCTGGATGCACAACTGGAGCAGACTCGATACAATCAACGAGCTTGGACGTGAGTAATTTTTGATAAAGCTGCTGATTATGTCTTGAACATAACACTGATTTTCAGACTACCACAGATTTCAAGAATATCTCTCGTCCCGTCGACGAATCATATTTGCCAATAGCCAAACTTACTTTCTCTGCCGCTCCCAGCTTTGGAGGAAAGAAGATGCACGAGTGACGGATTATGACGACCTGGATTATGATGATCTGGGAATCGGAGAGAGCATGACGTCTATTCTGCAAAGGATCTGGGAAGACACCAACTCTGATACTCATTCCGACTTCGCGTCGCTCCTGTTCTACTACTCGAGTCGACAAGTTACATACGCATCGGACATTCTGAAGGCCATAGATGGCATTTGTCATAGGCTATCTATTCGCTGGAAATTTGACTTGTTACAAGGTATGCCTGTTGCATTTCTCGACTTATATCTGTTATTTCACACAGCGGACACCACTGAGCGACGTCATGGCTTTCCAAGCTATTCATGGGCCAGCTGGAATGGGCAGATATTCATCGACAGTGTCGATGACTCGAAATCTTGGCTCTCCAACCAGACTTGGATCATCTGGTACAAATATGAGCCCTCGAACGGAACAGTCTCCCTCGTCTGGGATTCCGACCAACATTCCGGCTTCCCGACGACGAGCGAAAATGATGTAGAGCACCGTAGCAGACGAATATTCCGGTCAAATAGCGCGGCAGCGCGGCTCTCTGGCAACATGGAAATCACCAAGCCCTCGACGAGGTATAACTCCATTGACCACACTCAACATTCGTATCCGCTTCTGCAGTTTTGGACTGTCACAGCATACTTCAGAGCCGCTGTCTACAAAGAACACGGAATCGGCCGCTTTAATGGTTTAGTACTTGACGTTTTTGATCGAAATGACGACTATTGCGGGTGCGTATATAGCAACACATCTTCAACATATATACAGAGGCAGGATAAGGAGCCGCTCGAGCTTATTCTACTATCTGCCTGTTGGAGATCTGGTGACATGGATGATACGCATGTCTTGCCTGCAGTCAGACGACGGGTGTACTGGAATAGAGCAACTGAAAAGTATGCCAGAGATTTTGACGATAAACTTTTTCTTTGGGCATTGTGGATACGTTGGGATGGCGGTGTAGCGGAGAGAGTTGGTATCGGGCAAATCTTTCACACAGCCGTCGAAGAGTCTCTTGAACCAGGGCCCACCTGGAAGGAGATACTGCTAGGATAGAACAATTTGCTCAAGTCAGTTTTTATGCAACAGAATATTTAAAGCGCTCCGTTCTTAGAACCTCTGATGTTTTGGCCGGAATGCAAAATGGACTAAGAAACTATGCAGCTCAGGAACTCAACACTATACATTGAGACGAAGGAAGCTTTTATATTGAGACTAGAATCACAGTGTTATCTTCGCGCTCTAAAATGATGCGTTCCACCTTGCGAGAGAAACATGTTCTTGCTGGCCTCGCAGAAGTCTCTTATACGAGGATCATGTACCTTATGATCTGAAGGTCTTGCGAAAGGTTGGTACGTCTCAGCCAACCTTGGTAGATGATATGTCGCTTGCTCTACTAAGGATGATAGAGACCAACCGCTGCTGGCAGAAACCCACGTCTTTGGTGCTGATAGTTCGATGTTTTATCGATGTACTAAACCAGGTGGACTTTGATCGTAGTCGATTATAGCGGACGTACTTGAGAGCCTTCTACTGTTCCCCACGGTGTGCTCGAGCCTCGGCTCAGACACGGGATAACTGTCATCTTGCGTGCGGCCGAGTGTTTGGCGCCTTAGACCTCCCTTGACAAATCCCGCAGATTTGTTTGCAACGCTCATTGGGCGGTTGCCGATCAATCGCAGATCCTTACGCGACCGGAGCAAACATGCGCCTTAACGACGCTCACCTCCGAGATTCAGCTAGCCACATTTCAGAAGGTATGTATCTAAGGTCTATCAGTGTAAGGGGCTGGCCCCTAGGCTTGTTCAACGTAGAGGTGCCGTCGATTGACTATTCTAAGCTGAAGAAGGAGGAAAGGACTTTACAGGGATAGGCGCCTAGCAGCAGTGATGCAGACCGGGGCTAGGCGGTGTGCTACAGCAGAATAGTGGATCCGGCGGAGCTGGATCTCAGTAGCTGCTCCGGCAAAGCCGGAGATCTCGGCCGGGCTCTAGCCTGTTACATTACCTCCCCGCTCCCCTCCGGCGGCGCGTCCGTGGCGCTAGAGCTGGGTCTCCGTCGTGCTTCATCGCAGGGCCGTAACGTTGTTCGTAAGCCTCTATCGCTTCCGTCCCCTGGAGCGTCTCGATAGGCTCCCAGGTTCTCTCTGCGTATCCTTCCCACTTAACCAGCACTTCACGGCGTCTCCTACGCCCTCAACGCTTCCAGGCGGCGGCGTTGATACTATCTATATTCCAGGTCTCCTCGCCTTCGTCATCTATAATTAGGGGCGGCTGCTCGTCGTCCAGCGTTTGCCTAGGTAAAGGGTTGTTACCTGCACGCTTCAGGGTATCCACATAGAAGCGTAGGTATATAGCTGTTAGCATGTTAAGCTCTACTACGTATGGTGAGATAACCTTTGTAACAGTATACTTATGGTGCAACTAATCTAGTTTCTTGCATAGCCTAGGGGACCTGTAGTAGCCTATGTGAAGCCAGACTTTATCGCCTGCTTCTAGTCTCTCTATAGGCTGGCGCTTCCTGTTAGCCAGCTCCTCATAGCGTTACTGCGTTGAGGCAAGGGTCGACCGTGCTATATCCATCACATCCTAGAGCCTTATTACCAACTTGCGTGCCAGGTCCTCGCGAGGGCCCTCATGGTCTTCTGGGTCTGCCTCTTGAACCCAGACAGGCTCTGGGTGGTATCCATGTTCCAAGAAGAAGCTGCTCATGCCTATAGCGCTGCTATCGCAGCTGCAGAGCGCTAGTTGAGCTGCTGGGAGGTTATTCGCCTAATCCTTCTGCAAGTAGGTAATATAATTGCGTAGGTAGGCCTAGATCTCTTGGTTTATCCTTTCTAGGCCTCCATCAGTCTGTGGGTGATAGGCAGTACTAAGCTGCTGTTCTATTCCTAAAAGCTTGCAGAATTGCCGCCAGAAGCAGCTCGTCCAGTTGCTTCCTCTGTCGCTCATAATTGAGGTAGGGACGCTGTGGAAGCAGAAGTGGCAACTCAGGAATCGTTCAGCGCAGGCTTCAGCTTCCATACTTTCCATAGCTTCAAGGGTTACACCTTTTCCTAGCTGGTCGATAATTACCCAAAGGTATCCCTCACCCTTATCTGTAAGGGGAAGGTTAGTAATAAAATCTATAGCGAGGTCGCTTCATATATGCTGCAGTATTAGTAGAGGTTTCAGAAGTCCTTTTCGATACTCTCTCCAGATGTGGCTTCGCCCGCAGCTATCGCAATTACAGCAGAAGCATCATACTAGCTGTGACTAGCCAGGCCAGTAGAAGCGCCTACTGACTAACGCGAGGGTATTATCTCTACTAAGGTGGCCACTAAGTACTGAGTTATAGCTGCTCTGAACGATATGAGTATATAGTGTGTTCGCCTCGCTATCTAGGTCTTCACTACCTAGTACCTAGATCTAGTCTCTGAATAGTAGTCAGTTGCTATTATTAATCTCACACTCAGCAATCTGGACCTTTAGCTTAAGGCTAGGAGGGAAGCTTCTTTCTCGTTATTTCACAGCATTATATGCCTGCTGGTAGACTTAGTCTTGCCCTTAGGTCTGGTCCCAGAGTTGCTGTAGTTCCTTATCGTTAGTGAATATAAGCACTGATAGGGCTGTATCTACATATTATGTACGCGTTGAGGTAAGGGCTACTTCGGGAAGAAGCTGGAGAATCCAGCCTAATTCGCGCTCATCCTCTAGAGACGTAGGTACGTCTTGTTTGCGTCTAGAGAGTGCGTCTGGCACTACTGCTTCACTTCCTGGCCAGTACTATATCTCAAAGTTATACTGAGACAGCTCCTCTGCCCATCAGCTTTATCGTTCTGTGAGCCTCTGCTTTATCATGAAGTACTTCAGGTTCTTATGATCAGATAGAACCTTAAACTTATTAACGCTCTGCAGTTCCGCTCTCTATGCTCATAGGCAGCTAATAATAGCTAGCATCTCCTTATCGTGGATTAGGTAGTTAAACTGGGCGGCATTCAGCTGCTGCGAGTGGTATGCTATTATGTGACATCTCCTATGCTCATCTTCTTATGACAGTACTCCTCTAAGGGCGAAGCCTAAGCAGTCAGCCTCAACATAGGTTATACGCTCAGGGTCTAATTGATATAGGATAGGCTTAGCTGCAAAGATCCTCTTAAGCTCCTGGAATGCTACTTCCTGCTCTTTACCCCAGTGGAATAGGACGCCCTTCTTTATAAGAGATATAAGGGGTCCAGTAATCTCTAAGTATGCTGGGATGAAGATCCAATAGTAGTTTGCAAACCCTAGGAAGCTTCTAACTCCCTTAACCGTCTTTGGCGCAGCCTATTCCTTGATTGCCTTCAGCTTCTCAGGATCGCAGGAGATGCCTACTCCTGTGGTGATAATAAACCCTAGGTATTTAACTATCTTCACAGAGAACGCACACTTATGAGGGTCTAGCTGGAGCCCTGTAAGAGCAAGCTTCTGTAGTACTAGCTTAACCTTTGCTTCATGGTCTTACTGTGAGCCGTTTAAGTAGATCAGGACGTCGTCCATATATACTGTTGCAAAGTCGTCTAGGTACTCCTGAAGTATGCTATTGATATATTGTTGAAACGTAGCAGGGGCTCCTATAAGCCTAAAGGGGACGACAAGCCACTTAAATAGCCTATATCTTGTTCAGAAGGCTGTCTTATACTCCTCTCCCTCTGCAATTCAGATCTTATGGAATGCTGCTACTACGTCTAGCTTAGTGAACCACTTAGCAGCGCTAACAGTCTGTAGCGTCTCTCAAATCAAAGGGAGAGGGTATCAGTCGCACCTTATAAGTTCGTTAAGGGCGTAGTAGTCAATATAAAAACATATCCCTCCACCTGGTTTGCATATAAACAGTACTAGGGCTGATACTTCTAAGCTACTAGCGTGGATAAAGCCCTTATCTGGTAGGTCTCTCAGGGTCTTATAGAGGATGAGAAGCTCTTCTCATAATATGCTGTAGAGCAGCCCCTATAGTAGTACAGCCTTATTGCTGTCGCTCTCCTGTTTAATAGGGATTATATGGTCGACTCTAGGGCGATGCAGAGGAAGGTTAGCAGCTTCGTCAGGTTGGAATAGCTCTCAGAACTCAGCTAGTACAGCTGGTGGAAGGAGGGCCTTTAGGTCTGCCTTCTCAGTCTTCCTCATAAGAGCCTTCTGTATATCTGCTAAGCTGATCGCTCAAACTTCATATCCTGCAGTTCCTTTAGTTTGTTATCGTGCCCTCTTATAGAGCGTTGCAAAAGGGGCTCCTGGGAGGAGGCGGGCAGCCCTGATCTAGCGCACTCGCTCTAGCTCTTCCTCGCCTTTCAGACGTAAGTCTACACCACCCCTCCTATGCTGTATACGCTAGGCAGCAGCATTATATAATATACAGTTCCTCTCCATCCAGGGTTTCCCTAAGAATAGATCGTCGCTAAGGCTACGTATAGTATACGTAAAGATCTTCTCATTATAACCGCACAGCTTGAGGTTAAAGACAACTACACCTGTTGCTTTTATAGCGCCAGTAGTATCGCTAAAGCTGCCTAGTACTCGCTCAGAGCGGTCCACTACTAGCAGGCAGAGCTTGCAGGCTAGGTTGTAGTCAATAAGGGCGTATAAGTCGCACCCTATATCTATCAGGACGTCTGCTTAAGTGCCCTTATATATGCAGGTAGTGATCACTGCTGACTTGCTGCTCATGCGATGCTTAAACTGCTTCTATTTTGTGATATCACTAAGTTCAGCCTCTAACGCCCAACTTTGCAGTGGAGTTACTCTTTTCCTAAGCTCTCTTCAGCCTCAGAGCTTCCCAGCTCCTCTATAGGACTCTTATCGCTGCTCTCTTCTCGCTTCTTAGCTTTCTTAACCTTCGCAGGATAGGAACGCTTCAGCTTAGGACACTATATAGCAATATGGCCGATCTGGTTGCAGTTGAAGCACTTATAGGTGTCTCTCACAAGCTGCAGCAGGTCTTCAGATGAGGAGCTGCTTTATTAGCGACGTGACTTTATCTTCTCCTTGCCCTTAGCGCAGCTGACGCTAGACATCAGTATATCTCTGTCTGCATCTTATTAGCGGTTAGGTTGCAGCACTTTCTGAGAAGTGTAACTGAGGTAGCGTTCCCTAAGCTTCCTGCTATCTAAGCGGGATCCCATAGTGAGAAGCAGTTTTGTAAACTAGTGGTAGTCCTTTAGTGCTTCTAGTACCCCTATTAATAGGTTGCTTAACTAGGAATTCAGTACGCCCTCTAAGTAGTTAATCTTAATCTTATCTTGCTAAGATCCTCCCCCACTTACTGCAAGCTCCTTCTCAAACTTAGGAAAGAAGGAAGTAAAACTCTCTTCCTCTCGTTGCCGCATAGTGCGTAACTTATCCAAGGCTTAGGCTTTAGCGTTTAGGTCCCTATATGTTCTTTTGAGATAGTCTATAAATCAAGCTGGGGAGGTGTCTCCTCAGGCTACTCCATCAGCAAAGAAGGCGGAGGATGTCGCTTAGGCGGTTCCCTCCAGCCTGGCGTAGATATATGCGAACGCGCTCTCTTCTCCGCCTATAGCTTCAGCGTCGATCTATAGCTTCAAGTTTATCTCTAGAGCCTACTATAGAAACCGTCGTCTTATGCTATTAAACTTTAGGGGGTCAGGAAGCGTTAGCCTCGGTCGTCTAGTTGAGGTTGGTTTATAGGGCTCAGCCACTATTATTGCAATGCCGTCGCTTATTGCCTATGTAGTCGTATCAGCTGTGGACGGGGTAGGTACGCTGCTCGCAATCAGCGTAAGGGTTGCTCTATCCGTTAACATAAGCCCGTTCAGAGCTGTCAAGAGCTGCGTCATCTGGTCCTGAAGAGGACGTATGCTTACGTTAACCGCTTCGTTGATCCAGCGATCAATCTCAGCGTTCATTACGTCGTTTGCGCTACCCTCTGGCGGATCCATCGTGCCGCTCTCATGAGGTTTCGTATAGCATCTTCTCGTTGCGCTACCCTCAGCAAATCGTCGTATCGCTCTCGTGAGGTTTCATATAGCGTCTCCTTTTGTTAAGCTTAGAATATATAAGGGGCTGGCCCCTAGGCTTGTTCAACGTAGAGGTGCCGTCGATTAACTATTCTAAGCTGAAGAAGGAGGAAAGGACTTTACAGGGATAGGCGCCTAGCAGCAGTGATGCAGACCGGGGCTAGGCGGTGTGCTACAGCAGAATAGTGGATCCGGCGGAGCCGGATCTCGGTAGCTGCTCCGGCAAAGCCGGAGATCTCGGCCGGGCTCTAGCCCGTTACAATCAGCCATCAGCACTGCTTTTCGAATGTCAATATCTGGCTCTATATCTCTCTGTTCCTTCGAGTCAACTGGAATATTCCGGCTAACCTGAACTTCGAGGCAGGAGACACGACTAGACAGTGCCATGAAGAAGAATAGTTGATGAGTTTTAGGTGAATGTGGCCGGAGGGGCCAGGATAGCTAGAAGACTCAGACGGTCGCAGAGCTGGGGGGGAACTTAAGGGAGAGGCTTTTAGCCAGAAGCTGACAGATTCACTGTCCAGCCTCGACTCGAGGGTCAGCGGGTGTCAATAAGCAATCAGGCTTAGCGCACTAAGCAAACAGTATGGCGTCTTGAAGCGGGCTGTCTTAGCTGTGTAGATGTGTCTCGGGCGACTGACTTCTTTCAGTAAAAAAGGCAGGTTTCAAGTCAGCTGGTGTCTCTCGCACACGTAGATGCAATCGCGTTCCAACATGGGAGAAAAAACTCAAATTGATTGTAATTGTCGGAAAGTCTGACGGTGGATAAGACTTCTTCGCTCCCCCTAAGTTCGAAATGCCGTTACAGCTTTCGTATGTACTATCAAGAACCTATCCAGTCGCTCTGAAAGACCTTTGAAAAGTCGGAAAAACTCTCAACACTCAGTCAAGATGGCGTCAACTGGCGACTTTGATGCCGATGGCTTTGCAAGCAATCTCTTCAGTGACCTTGCTCCCCTTGAGTTTGTAGTTACGACGCAGCCCCCCCGCAAAAAGACTACGGCAAAATTCACCCCATACGCGGGCACAATTCTGGAAACACTATATAGGCACCTTGACCTGTGCCCTCTACCAATTAAGGAAAACAGTACAGAAACCCTATACGTTCCTGCTGATAGGCAAACCCTCTGAATATCACAAAGTCGAACGCGCGCCCTAGTCGAATAGACCGGCGGAACAGCAACGGCGCCGGCCGCGCTGCGGGCCGGCGGCGCCGCACGTAGCGGGGCCGATCACATCGGGGCCGAACGGGTCACTGAGGCTCTCATGTCGACAGCTTCGCTAAACTTTCCAGCGAGGTTAACGCCACCACAAGAGAGATAACTCCTCAACCAAAGAGGTCTTCAGAAGAGGTTCTCACAGCCAGAAGCATAAACACTCTGCTGCTGCGACCTTGCTCCCCTTCTCGTACTGTTTGGAGAGGAAGTTACCACGCAGTTTCTCAGTATGAGCATGGGAGGGGCAGACAATTTTCTCCTAGCTATGGGTCCTATCGGGGTTATCACTATTGTTGTGAACGCGATTCGGATAGGTGGCTGCATTCTGCTTAAATCTCTGATTGGACGGTAAGCTCTTCAGGGGCCCGGCAGCAGATTTGGCATATTAACGAGCCTTCGCCAAATCAAGAACACAGGCAGTTGCGGAACAGGAGCTTCTATCCTCGACCTCCTCTGAGGTTTGCGAAGTATGGAACGGCCAGCACGTTTCACGGTTGATCGGAGAACCTAGAGGAATATTGACCGTTGTTCTTGAAAGCGACGGCAAGATGATGACACTTCCGAAAGCCCTCGGATTAGGCCATATTACAACCAAAGATAACAGGAGCAAGAGTAATCACTTCTTGCTTGACTGCGTGGCGCCTGGCCTTTTGTCTACCTTTGTGCTGAATTATGTGCTCAAGGTTTCACCGAGTAACGATGGTGCAAAGAGTGGGGACGATCAACACAACTACTCTCTCGAAGACAACGCAAGCCACGCCGCTCTAAACCTGCCCCCGAATCTGACACTTAATACTCGCTCTAAGCCTGCCAATCCATGCGAAATATGGTCATGGGCAGGGCTTGGGCTTATTCTTCATACTTTCGCTGTTGTTTACCCTGGCATAACAACATACTATTTCAAGTGGAACAAGGGCGAAACAGCTGTGGCTAGGTACAGCTATCCGTGCTTTGCCGCGGGTACTGTATCATTGGCAATAGGCGTCATGTTATGTGGCCACATCATCGAGAGTGCCACTCAGGAAACAATATATTCTTCCTTAGTGACGGTGCCAGGAGAAAGGGCATGAAGATTCTCTGTCTGCAAGAGGCCATGCTTAACGGCGAACAAAACATACCTTCGTGCGCGATATTTTTGGCGAAAAAGGATGGAATCCTGAGAACATCAAGATATCAAAAGGCCTATTCAAGGCCCGGCTCTGCTGGGTACCTTTTGCCGCATAAGTTTTCAGTCGTCATTCGATATTGACATTTTGTACTAGGAAACTCGCTCTTGTGTCAACTGTGCTCACTTTATCGGGATACATCGTCCAATTCATTGGACTTCGAGCCCTTCATTGGTCAGTAATACTGGTCCAACTAGGAGTGACGATCGTTATGATCATAGCTCGAGCCATTTCGCGAAGAAACCTTGCATCCACCCCAGAGACTTCCGACTTGGCTTTACAAGGCCATGAAATGGCCTGGCTTACTTTCTTGCTGATGTCGGAAGCAAAAAGGTCGAAAACAGCAAATTTGGAAGCAAAGAAAAGGCCTGATGTTAAGGATAGCCCCTATTTTTGGGAACTAATTTCCGATCATTCAGAAGAAAGCAGCATCGTGATGGACCGGCTGTACCGGCCAAAATCCTCACAATCTTCAGCATCACCTGAAGCGGAAGTGAAGGACAAGAACTCACCTGAATCAGCAGTAAGGGACGACCCATCTGAACCTGAAATAAGGGACAAGAACGGTTATGTCTTCAACCGATTACTTCAAAAGATTCAGGGCCCGCTGAGAGCTCGCCTCGAGTTCGATCCAGACCTTACAATCTCGACCACACAGCCGCAGGCAAACATCCCGGAAAACCCTCTGGTTATTCATGCCAAGATGGCCGTACGAAAATCAACCATCACGGAGCGAGATCGTGATACCGAAAAAGCTTCTTTGGTGCTTTGTAATGGACCTTTTGAGCTCCACAAAAGAGGATTTGACATCTAAAAGGGCGATCAAATCACGGCTCGTGGACAAAACCCAAATGTTCTGGTCGTTCGACATTCACGAAGGTCATATTTCGCAGCTAAAGGAGAAGCAATTCTCGCGAGGTCGCGTCCAGATAACCCTCCACCGAGAGCCGGGCCACGACAGTCGCCTGTGGCGGCTGCATGAAACAAGCTGTAATCATCTCCAGGCCGCGATACGCTTGTCGTCATATACGCATGCGGCGCGACTGATGCACACCACAGGTGGACTTCAAACAGCAACAAGAACAACGGAACAGTACAGCGACCATGGTTTTCGCCGTATGGTGGGGTACGCGACTTGCGACGAAGTCGCAGACCGTTTAGCCTCCATGAAAAAAATGGTTGAGACACGAAGTCGAAACATCGAAATTATCAACAATACGAAATGAGGAAAAGAGGTCGGATATCGAAAATTCCGTATCAAAGCGCATTGAGTCGTCGACACAGGCATCGATATGGTGGCATTGCGAAAAGCTGCTAGCGTTATTTGGACAAAGACAGACAAGACAGTTGCCAGACGGCTGCGGAAAGACACGGAACTTCTGACGCCTACGCTGAGACAAGGAGTCGAGTGCTCATATCTCGGCATGTTCTTATCATCACCTGCGTAAGTACCCCGGCAGACCCCTCCCCTGGGTAATTATATGACCTAAATTCGATTTGTTGTTGTTTTTGTTGTTGTTATATTTAACGCCGTGGCGGCAAAGGGCGCAGCCGCCCTTGCGGCCGACCTCCCGAGGGGTATATGGCGTGGAGGGCCGCAGGCTCTAGCAACATACTCTATAGTACACGCCTCTTCCTAACGTCCTCCAAGTCTTGCCCGAAGGCTACGATGTGTTCTATCCGTCCCTAGTTCCCGCTGGTTCCCTAGTTCCGTTGTGATTATCAGGTCCTCTACGAGGAGGGGGTCGTTACTAGGGACTAGGTCTTAACCTAGGCCCTAGTACCGCGGGCAGATCTTCTGGAAGAAGTCTGTCACGGAGAGAAAGGCCTGGAAGCCTTCAGGATCAGTGATTAATCCCTTATAGTACCGCTCAAGAGATCCTATAGGACCTATAGGTTCATGTGGACTAGAAGGGTGGAGGGTAGGCCACTGAAGCCTCCTCACAAGGGTCTTTTGGCAGTAGACTAGATGGTCTACCTCCTTTGCCTCCCCGCAGGAGCAGGTAAGCAGTGCTTCTGTATGGTTGAAGCGTTGGTGGTATTGTTCGAAGTCTCCATGGCCTGATCGAGCCGCTAGGAGATGATGTAGTATAGCCCGTGGCAGGGCTAGTTCAGGAGGGCAAGCGAGGGTAGCCTTGAGCCCTAGTTGGGTATAACGGGGTGTTGCCTCTCGCTTCCACCACTTCCTATATTGGCGTCGTATGCGCTCTTTAGCAAGCCGTTTGATCCCTGATAGGGTAGCCAGTTGGCCCCTAGGGACTGGCAGGGTTGTACCCTCTTTAGCTAGGCTGTCTGCTTCCTCGTTTCCTCTAATGCCTTGATGCCCTGGGGACCAGTAGATTTGTATGTCGTATATCCTAGCTGCCTCTGACCTAAATTCGAATGCAGAGATAATTCTCCAGGTTTTCCTCAAGACTACCATGAAGAATTATACATCGAGAGAGATACTGATTCTCCAACAACCGAAGCGTTTCAATATGCCCAAGAAATGTTTCCTCTCTTCATCCTCGCTCTGGCGTCCCGAGTCAAGTCGGTGAACGGGGAGACACATTTGAAGCATCAAGGGAACGACGACGGCAAGATTTTGCTCGAGAATTCCACTTTCAAATCCATTGCGGAGATTGTAGTCAAAAGAAAGTTGGCTTCTACTATTGACGAAGCATACACCTTGATTATACCGGCCTTGGCCAAGTACAATCTTCTCCCCAGCCCATGAAACCCGCCGGACCCTGGCAGTCTGAGCTGGCGGGACTTCTGAGATCAGGCAGAGTTGGCAACTGAGATTGGGTCAACAACTAATGAATCGTCATCTACAGCGGTATAAGGTGATAATCTGGGTTGTAGCCCCGTTTGAATGGCAGAACCTTCGATAGATGAAAAAACCGGGCGGTTGTGGTTCCGTTTTTAGTCTTCGCGACTTTGATATACAATGCTGAGAATGCTTAATTAAATTTAGAGTCTTCAATATTCTCGATGATTCCGTATTGCTGTTGTTGCTCTAACTAGGCCATTTTGTATTTTCTTCGCGAATCGACCATTCTTCTTTGTTAGATGACTGCATGTTGAGTTTTCTCTTTTCTCCCACGAAGACGATCCCTAGAAAACATTTCAGACAGGGACTGCCGCGTTTCATGATAGTATTTCCTGGATAAGGTGCAGACAAATCCACATTCAAGATGCTGCTCAAGAAGATGAGTTTGCTCACAAAGCAGGCGGCTTGTGCTGAAGAATTGTGGCGGTGCCAACGAAATTCGCAGTCTGCCTCGGTGTGGCTTGTGTGAAGCGGGTCCAGAGCGAGCTGCGCCATGATCGGAAACATCCGCAGCTTTGAGTGTTGTCGGGTTGTGGCGTCACATGACCCCATGGACCTATCCTCTCGATCGGGATGCGGGAGGCCAGCAGCCGGCGCCGCCACTTACGCTCAGCAAATTACAGCCCAAAACCGTGGCTTGGGCAATTGCGGGCGGGAAGAAAATGGCTGGCCATCGAATTTACGCATCTTTTTTAGGCCCCAAACCCCATTCCACCTGACAACAAGCCTTCCCGCGTCTCCGCGAGGCTTTTCCAAACTCTATCCAGGCCATCGGACGGATCTTGCCATTGAAAGGATGCGCTTTCGTTGCGGGCGAGGGCTTGAACGAGGCGATGTCGCGGTATTTGAGTTGGGCTTACGGGAGATGTGCCTTTGCTGTCAAGCTTCGTTTACCCCTGTCCATCCTCGTTCAGGCTCGGGATCCGGTTTGCGCTGATGATGGTGATATCGGACCAGAAAGCATGTTGTCAGCTTTGCAATGCGTCGACGAGTCGTCGTCCATGACGGTCTGGCCTCAAGGAGAGGGGGAAAGCGTTGGTGGTGGTGGTGTGTCTTGGAAGCTTGTGGCTGGCTACTCCGAAGAGTGCGCGCGTGCTTGTGCTGTGGCTGATGTCATTCTGCATGCAGCCTCGATTTCAGGTGTAGTCGAGACCAAGACCATCAGAGCTCAACGCCACCGTATTCCCATTTTGGGCCGCAGGTTGGGCGACCAGATTCATTCCAAACGGTCGGCATTTGCGCAGTCTCGATCCTGTGCAGTTGATTCCTTTCGGACAATTATTCTGTTGAATGAGGCGACTGAGAAAAGAAGCAATAGCCAAGAGAACAGATCGACTTGGCAGGGGATTTCTTCGGTGCTTGAGTGTGCTTGGCCGAGGTGTTACGTTCCTTGGCGAAGCTTGTTTTGGGCGGTTTCTGCTGTGGTGAGTGGGATTCGGGGCAAGTGGCGCGTCTTGGCACGTCGCCGGGGTATCTGACGACATGCCCTCTTCTGTTCATGTTCTTCTTTCTTTTTTTCTCCTCTGCCCATCGAAGCTCTTGACTTTCTCCGTGCCCAACTCAATCGCGCGCACAGAAAACAAACACACACAGACGGGATTCCATCATCCCAACGAGCAATAGCAGCCAATGGTTCGCAGAGTCGAAAAAACATTAAAGCAAAAAGGGGGCGTTAAATGGCGGGCCCCGCTTAAGCGATGGCCTGGCGCAACGTCATTGGATCAGAAGAAAACAGTGGTAGGGAGCGACACGCTTGTTGCACAGAACGGGATAGGCGAAAGTGAGGGAGTCGATTCAGGGAAATTAGCGCTGCGCGTCGACGTGGTAGCGCAAGCAGGCCTTCTTTGGCTCTTTGGTCCTTTGGGGGCACTTTAGAGTGGACTGACGTAGGAGTCTGGAGTCCCCCGTTGTCCCTTGAAACTGGTGGATGAACGGTGGACGAGGGAGGGAGGACCTCTGCACCTGCACCAGCCGAAGAAAACAATGACCTATCCTCATCGTCCACTCACTCGTCCAGGAGTCGATGCTTAATTATTTCTTGGCACCCTTCGTTTTTCGTCCCATCCTTTCCTTCTCTTCCTTTTTCCCATTTCCCACGGCCACCCACCCCTCCACCGCCCCGGTATCCGTCTAGCTTAGCTTCATCAGCTTTGCTCGCAGCAGCAAGCACCGCACACTGCCCAGCTAAGCCCGACAACATTACGTTTGGCAAGGCAGTCTACGGCACCTACCCTACCTTACGGATTACGGATACTGCGCATCTTCCGGACAAGTGAATACCTTACCTACCTTAACCTACCTACTCGCAAGCAACGCACGACTCGCACAGGTTCCAGAGCTTGCCCACTTTTCCGCAGACACAGCCTCAATCTGTCACTCCGAGGGTGCATAGCGCTAGGTTACTACAACCGTTGTCGCGACTAACCAGGACCACCGGTGGCCACCCGATCACATTTTTTCGCCTCTGTTTCCTCCATCCGAAGGAGACACAGCCCGAATCGCATCTGCAGGCACACAAACGGCCGACACGTCGCCGTCTACACCGCAGTCCCCTTAGCCCCAGTTGACAACGAGTCTTGGCTTGCGCGTCTTGCTGTGTGTTGGCTTGCCTTCCCGCTTGTCAATCTCACCATCGCCAACCGGAGCCCCGTTTTTGCTCATCTCCGGCCGGCAGCGGGTATTGTCCGATCAATACCACCACCCTTTGCCAAGGAGGCCTCTCCCATCACCGCGCCACGGTACTCTTCGTATATTGCTCTGTACCTGTTGCCGTGTGCTATCGACACTTTCGACGTTATTCATCGTCCAACCAGGAATTCGGCACAAACCACACCACCAGCATCCCCGACCACTGCTCGGTTCGCGTGTTTCGTCTCAACATTCGGGCGCTGATCTGAAGCGATCTGATCTTTGCCACTACAAACTCCAAAGCAAGCACAGGCGCTCAGCCGGCAACCCGTCGTCAGCATGAACTCCTCAACCTGTAAGTACGGCACCAAGAATCCGATTGACATCTCCCTTATTACCCGCCCACCCCCGTTCCTATCGTATGTCCCCAGTCACCGTTGCACTCGTCGATACCTTGGCGGAAAAGAAGAAAAGAGACACCATCAAATCATCTCTTACCTAACCCCGTCCTTTCCCCATCACCCCCATCACGAACTCCTGTCTCTCCCTCTCTTGGCGTCGTCGTCGGTGGGAAGCTATCCCCTTAGACCGCTGCTCTAGACGCCGTAGTCTATCCATCTTCCCCCAATCACCTGCCGCCTCGAGCGCGGATTTGACCAATTCTCGCCTATTCCCCCCGTCGCCTCGCATCCTCTCCCCATATCATTCCCACACCTCACTCCACATCGAAAGTTTCACGTCATCACCCAATCTCACTTAACGAACCGCTCCCTTCACATTCACTCACCTCACCCGTTCTTCTTCAACTTCTCATTGCTGCTCTGCGTCCCGCCCACCACTAACCATGCCCGACCTCGTCGGCTCAGTCAACCACTTTGACATCAAACGCAAAGCTCACGGCCTCAGCCGCAAGAGCACAGAGCAGACATGGAACCCGTTCCGCCATGTGTCCTGGGATAACCGCCCCAGCAAGCGCTCCACCTGGGACGGCGCCAACCTCGAGGCCCAGCGCGAGGTCCCCAGCAGAGCCGCCGACGACGCAGAGACCGAGGAGCCGATACACCACGTCCAGAGCGAGCCCGCGCCCCGGGACTCCGACACCGTACGCAGCCTGAGCAAGGACACGAGGACGGGGAGCGGCAGCGGCGAGACCATGTTCGAGAACAAGAAGGAACAGGAGGCCGCAGACACCGGCCTGAGGAATCGAAAGACCGACGCCGCCGGCGCGCAGGGCAGCTCACCACCCGACGAGGAGGAGAGGGAGAAGCCCAAGAAGCAAAAGTCCGGCCTCATCCGCCACGTCGAGCCCAAGCAGCCTTTCACCGTCGCCAACCAGCTGCAGAGGACGCTGCTCTGCTCGTGGATCAACGTCCTGATCCTCGCCGCCCCGGCCGGCATCGCCATCTCCTACGTCAACGTCAGCAAGATCGCCGTCTTCGTCGTCAACTTTATCGCCATCATCCCCCTCGCCGCCATGCTCGGCTTCGCCACGGAGGAAATCGCCCTGCGCACCGGCGAGTCGCTCGGCGGCCTCCTCAACGCGACCTTCGGCAACGCCGTCGAGCTCATCGTCGCCATCATCGCGCTCGCCGAGAACAAGCCCCTCATCGTGCAGACCTCCCTCATCGGCTCCATCCTCTCGAACCTGCTGCTCGTCATGGGCTTCTGCTTCTTCTTCGGCGGCCTCCGTCGCCCGGAGCAGTACTTCAACACCACCGTCGCGCAGACCGCCGCGTCCCTGCTCGCGCTCGCCGTCGCCTCCGTGATTGTGCCCTCCGTCTTCGACAAGAACGACGGCACCAACAACCCGACCCACGTCGCGCAGCTGTCCCGCGGCACCGCCGTCATCCTGCTCATCATCTACGCGTCGTACCTCTTCTTCCAGCTCAAGACGCACTCGGCCGTCTTCAACGAGGAGTCGCAGAAGGTCGCCGCGAAGCCGTGGTCGCGCGGCGGGCTCAAGGAGGGCGCCCTCGGCCGTGGCTTGGCGGGAGCCGGCGCGCGCATGGCGCAGACGGGCGTGCGCGACCATGACGAGCGGGCCGAGCTCAGCCGGATTATGATGCAGCGCCCCAAGGAGGGCGAGGATGACGACGAGGAGGAGGACCCTCAGCTGCACTTCCTGGTCGCGGTCGGCACGCTTGCTGGTTCTACGGTTCTGATTGCCTTCTGCGCCGAGGCCATGGTTTCGTCCATCGACGCGGTGACGAAGGCGTCGGGTATCAGCGAGGAGTTCGTCGGTCTGATTCTGCTGCCTATTGTGGGCAACGCCGCGGAGCACGCGACGGCTGTGACGGTTGCGATCAAGGACAAGATGGACCTGGCGATTGGCGTGGCGGTCGGCTCGAGTATGCAGGTCGCGCTGTTCCTGATCCCGCTGCTGGTGATCATCGGCTGGGGCATGGGCAAGGACGATATGACGATGAGCTTTGACCTGTTCCAGGTCGCGGTGCTGTTTGTGGCGGTGCTGTTGGTGAACTACCTCATCAGCGACGGGAAGAGTCACTGGCTTGAGGGGTTGCAGCTCATTTGTCTGTATGCCATTATTGCCGTGTGTTCATGGTGTAAGTTTTGTCCTCATTCTTATGTGGCTGAAATTAGTACTGACAAGATATGCAGGGTACCCCGCCGAGAACGTCGCTGGCTAAGCGTCCTTCGTCACTCGTTACGACCGTCATTTTTCACTTTACGTCTGGACCCATACAAAAAGAATTCCTTTTCTGAGCGCTGTTACAATTTTTCTTCTTTTCTCCATTGACCATAATGTCTTGTTCTTGATTCATGAGAAGCATACATGATAGAGTGTGTGGCTTTTCTATTGTACATATAAGATTGTGAGCGAGGATTCGTCGGGGAACTGTATACTTTAAAAATTCCCACGTTGGCGGTGGTTGCAGATCAGGATGAGGGAATGAAGAGAAAGAAGCCTGATGTAGAAACAGGATGATGCCGTGGGATGGCATTAGATACCAGATATGAGTGCAGCAAGTTGGCTGAGAGCTGACTTGGAATGAAAAGATTGAAATCTTATCGATTGAGAACTTGAGTGACAATGACTTGTTTTGAGAGCCAAGATTGATATATGCGGCTGGCAATAAATAGGCATAAAGTAGGATTTTTGCATTGGTGGAGTGAAGCTGTGCCAGAAATTATAGCGATGAGTTGGCTCTTGCGCAAAATGAAACAGCCTTGGTGTGAGGAACACCAACCCGACAGCCATCGTCTTCATCAAGGGTAGAATCAAAGGCCTTCCGTCTCCACTCGTTGTCAAGCTACTGTCTTCTTGCCGTTGGCTATGTGGGTAGAATAGAAGGGAGAGGGAGGCGTCGGACTTGGGATCTAGTCAGAGTTGAGTACTAATAGAGCAAGACTTGACTTGGGCAGTATGAGGACTGGGGTTCAATCTTTCCACCTCGTCCTCCGGAAATTTTCTTCCGCAGAAGCATTGGAACATACAGATCCATTGGTGAAGGTGTTCATTTGGGTGCAATGCCGTTGCTTTTACGTCCGTTGGGTTCGAGCGTGTCTTCACGGTGAGATCGGACTTTGCACTCTCATTTTGGATGTATAAAGGTGACTGGGCAGCTTTGGTAGATGATGGAGACCAACAGCCAATACGGCACGGCGAATTGCAAGACGCTAAACATTACGAACGGACATGGATTGGAGAGGCCACGAGGTTGCACTTCCTCAGTTGAGACCGCGGATGATGTTCCATGGGAGACGTGGTGCAGAGGAAGTTATCTTCCGTCACTACTGCCCCGCGGAGGTTTTGCTTAATGAGGGGCGAATACCTTGAGACCGAGGGTTTGTGAAAGACATGATGTGTCCTAGAAACGTCGGCCACCTGTTGAACCCCCTAGCTTCGGGAGATAGCTTTCTGTGGCTTGACATTGCGAATGGTCTCCATTATTGCGTTGAATTATCCTGCATCTTGTGCGAAGATGAGGTTTTATACTTGAGCTGTCTAAAGGCATGGCAGCGTCCGTCTGTGTGCCAAGTGCCATGCAAGGCTCTTGATCTCTTGAGGTTACGGACTGGACATATCGGCATTCTCCTGCCGTGAGGGTTGCGTTTTCCGCGCAAAACGAGGTGTTGCATGGGTATAAATAACACATTGACAAGATATCATCAGTCGTTTCACCAAAAATGTGTCTATGGCATCGAATGTCCAGGAGATGAGGCGCAAGCAGGGTGCCTTCCTTCGTGCCTGAATTGCAGATATGCAGCTGGATAACGGAGCGGTTGTTGGGTTTTGATGTATCGTTTTGGTTCTCGGTGTTTGTCGTCCTTGTCAATTTATTCGCTCGCGAATAACCTCAGAAAATGCAGAAAGGTAGCCGAGAGCTAACCTGTATGGGAAGATTGAAATCTTGTGAATTGAGGACTTGAGTAAGACGGATGAGATGTGGCGGATGAAGAGACCAATATTGCTGCCTGCGGCTGGTTGAGACGAGGTATAAAAGGGTTAAAGGGGCTTGAATTTCCAGAACGACGCCGCGCCAGAATGAAGGGCGAAGGCACAGATCGTGAAGCTCATCGTGTGAAGAGAGCCAAAACGAAGGCCACAACTTTCACCCAAGGGTATAATTGAAGTTCTTCCGCCTCTACTGCCGGATTGCTCACATCTTCTTGCCTGGGTTATTCTGGCAGAATAAGAAGGGAGAGGAGGCGTTGGACTTGGCATGATGTCCAATTACTGGTACATGTATGCTTATGGGGTGAGGCTTGGTCTGTTACAACGAAGAGCCCGCGTTGAGCTAAGTACTATTCGTTTCCCCTTAGGACTAAGATGAATCTATGCCAAAAGCGGCAAGACCAGATTGGCGAGGGGTACGTTGAGTGGATGATGTCGTGGCTTTTTATATCCAACAGGGTTGTACTAAGGTATCTGCGCTGCGAGTTTGGATTTTGCATTGACTCGATTTAGGTATCAAAATGTGTTTGCACCTTTGAATTACTGATGGGCAGATAGAATGATAGGCAGACACAACCGCACTCCTGCAAGTATTGGTTGCAGTCAACAGGTTTCAATCAATGATGCAAGTGGTGATGTTGATGAGAATTCAAGTCTAACCCAATATTTGCAGAGGGTTCAGGGAGAAATGGACACGAGATCATTTTTCAGCCTCGCCATCCTGGGTTTAATCTTTGTCATATAGATCGAATAATTCCAGGCTGGGTACGTGTTGAAAAGTGACTTGTGTTGGACAAGCCAGCAACCTGTTCATCCTGCATAGGTAGTCAGACGAGATGGTATGATACGACTGCACAACACGTATGCGAATGGAACCCCATTGCGCTGAAATATCGTTTGCTCCTCGAGATGCTGAGTTCTTATACCCATGCCTCGAACTATAGCGCCAGGGCAGTGTTCGCCTCTCTACAGCAACAGACGCGCCTGATTCGGTGGGGCATCAGAATGTAAGTGACCCAATGTCCTGGTACAGTCCAGGTCCCACGCGAACACTTGGGTTGTAGTAGTATAAATTGTGACGGCAATGCAATACTAGCTACTTCAAAAACAAATCCATCGCGCGTCGTTCGTCGTAAACTGAGGAGAAGGGATGGTAAGCGCCTACGTCGCATTTATCCGACCAGACCAACTAATTGAGATGGGTGATCTTTTCGTGCATCTGGGGCTTTATCCCTTTCGATTCTCATCGTTGGCTGCCTGTTTGTATGTGAATATCCGGGAGAAACCCGGGGCGATCCTGTGGTTAGAGCGAATATGCATGGGCACCACGTTGCCCACTGGGGATGATGGACGATATCCGCTGACGCCCATCTTTTCGGACGTGAGCGAGAGAAAGTTTTCATGTGTCTGCAATCAAAAGAGCATAATTTCTCGTTGATGCTTGAATCTGACACTACTAAAGATCGATGTGACTACTGTGCCTCGGAGAATTTCCAGACCCATCATCTCCCTTAAGTTCATCTCCCAGCTCGTTCAGTAGAACGAAGTCTCAACGGACGACTTCTCGCGCGTCGGCAGGTGACAAAAGCTGAAGCAAGCCATTTTGATCCCTTATCGGAGCCCCCAGAATCAATCCGGTAGCTTGGATCGAAACTCGCCAGGGTTAATAAATGCTTCTGCCGGGGACACATTGGATGTCTCCATCTGTGACTGAAGCAAATAATCGACAAGAAATGCTACAGAAACATTGCCGCGTCCATACATCTTTCCACCGTCTTCTTCACCTGTGTCTTGCTAGGCGAATAATACCGTAGAACCTCTATCGTAACTGACATGGTGTGAGGAAAATCCTTGAATGAGATGGCGCGTGAGATCACTTTTGAGCGTAGGCTTACGTGACAATAATACAGCTCAAGCTGAAAACACTCAATCTAGGAAATAAAGCATTTCTTGCTTAGGTTCTCGGAATTTGGCTGTGGAGTTGCCGATTTACATGTTCATTCACCTCAGATCTGGCGGTGCATAGAGATGTGGTACGCCTGTGGGCAAAGCTTGTAATGCCGTAAAACGCCTCCAGCGACTTTTCAGTACTTTTCAGTTTCTCAAAACAACAAATTAATGAAGTACATTCCATGAAGTTCAGTTGAAGTGAGCTGCACTTGTATATCATGCGATCGGCTAATAAGGGCTCGGTAGCATAGCCTTATGATTCAGTGGATCAGTCATTTGCCGTGTAGCTTCTGGCACTGGCTCCGATTTGGATACACCGTCAACAGCGAAGTAGAAAGACAACGAACGGTATAACGCACATGACAGCTGGATAAATTTGACTTTTAAAGATGCACAGAACGTGATAGGAGGAAACTGGGTCTAGGCTTATTAATTTGGAGATGGTGCCTGAACAGACTTGTCCAACATCAGGAACATCGTTGCGGCCCGCGTGGAAAGCTGGCGCGCTTTGGCTCAATGCTCCTTCTTTATAGAACAGCGTCCTTAGTACAACCATTTTAATTTACCAATAATATCTCATATTTTAATCCCCTTAATTAACCTCAGAGATCGCTGACAGCTCGCGCTTTTAGAATGGTAGAAGGCAACTGAGGCTGAGGCGCGCGGATGGTGGGACTCGGGGAGAACGCATGGAGTAAAAGGAAAACGTAATAGAACTACTGAGATGAAATCCAATTGGAATTGACAGCATTCATCTCAATGGTAGCTTTCGTGTCATTCTACTGTCGTTCCGTAGCACTGGTGTCGTCTAAGCATACCTAACATCTATGTAGGTACAGGCTGAACGATGCGTGGTGTGCTAAGAAACAAATCCCCGCAGGAGATCGCGTCGAACAAGCTGCACGGGAAGCTCTTAACCGCGAAACTCGCTGAAAAAACAGCCAGCCGGACTCTAACTACAAGAGAGGCAAGGAGGCAGACCAGCGTCGCGCCCTGTCACTCATAGAGGGGCGAAAGAGTCGGAGGAGAATTGGCTATTTAACAAAATAGAAATAAGAGTAGCCACTCGAATCCTGGCCCTATACAATTGGTAATCGATATCTCAACCTTAACACACGACGCCTCTCGGCCACCGACCCCGTGACCCCACCGCAACTGCATTTCGTAGCCCGGGGGGCGCGCAACCGGGACCCACTCCGTGCAGATCCCGTGGCCCGGGCGCGGAGGTACCTGCCCCACCCCTCGTGAGCGGCATCAACGCTTCGTTTCTACGGCCGCAGGCGAACATGTACAAGCCGGCCAGGCCAAAATAGTAAGTGGATGGATGTACATGTCGTGGAAGCAAGGTGAGAAGAAAAGTAAAAAAGAAGGGCCGGGCTGTCCGAAATACATCGACTCACCCCAGCCGGCGACCAGCGCTGAATCCGCTCCCGTTTCCTCAGAACGTCCCGTCGAAAACTGGTGCCAATTGTTATTTTGCAACTGAGTTGATTTTACCTATAGACCTTACATCTCGAAATTGAAGGAAGGAGCATATCACGAAGGTAGCTACTGAGGAAAGAATATGTGGCAGGCACCGCAATGCAGCCAGCCTTAGCCAGCCCACCGCACCACGCCTTTTTGACGACAGGCAGGTTTCCCTTCTCATCCCGCACCTTCTGATTTTAATTTTGCAGTTTCCTATTTTGAGGCTTTTCAGACTATACATATCACTGAATATTGACACGCTCACGAGTTGTTACGATATATCTTGATTTTCGCACAACTATGGCGCGCATCCTCACACAACTATGTACGGTTTTCAAACCCTGTCTCTGCCCATCACCAAGGCTCTCCACGCGAATCATACTAACAGAGTAGTAAGCTCAGTCCCTTCCACATTCACGAACCGCACCTTTCCTCCAGTGACACTACTACCAGTTTTCGCCGTCGCCTCGTTCACGATCCCGTTCTCGTCCCAACTGAAATCGACAACCCCACCACCGCGAACCCGGAGCCCCTTCACCCTACCACCGCCCCATTTCTTCGGAATCGCAGGGGCCAGCACCACCGTCCGCATATCCTCTCTCGAAGCATACGGCAGCGGCAGGTCGACGACCAGCATGCTCAACACAGCACCGCCCAGGCCGAAGTTGGCATCGATCTGGAACGGCGGACTCAGCGCCCAGTACATGCTGAACCCGTTCGGCGCAAAGTTGACGTCGATCGCGTACCGCAGCTGCTCGTACGCCCGGTCCGTCTCGTTGAGCCGCGCCCAGCACGCCGTCCGCCACACCTTGGCCCAGCCCGCGTTCGCGTCTTCGGCGTTGCCCAGGCTGCGGGAGATGAGCGTCTCGCGGACGGCGGACTGTATCGTGGCGTTGGTGTAGCCGCCCAGGAAGGAGGAGACGGAGTAGCCGGGGTGCCAGCCGGTGAGGTGCGAGAGGTGGCGGTGGGTGGACTTGTCGTCGTAACCGTAGCTGTCGGGGAGCTTCCACTCCTTCAGGCCGCCCCATTCCGTGACATGGACACCCTTGTCGAGGCTTTTCAGGCTGGAGGTGACATCTTCGATGAACTTGGTATCGTCCTCGGAGACGAAGGTCGCGCCGTGGAGGACGGCCTCGAAGACTTGGTGGATCATTTGGTGGTAGTGCGTGCAGCCGAACGTCGTCGGGCCGTGTTCGGGGCTGTTGCAGGGGTTGACGACCAACGTGCCGTCGTTGAAGTAGAGGTCCTCTTGCAGTTGAGAGAGCCAGAATTCGGCGACTCCCTTGATGAGCGGGTATCCCTGGCGGGTGAACCACTCGATGTCTTGGGTGTACTCGAAGTTATCCCAGACGTGCTGCATCATCCATGCTGCCGCTGCCGGGTCTGAGAGCTGTTAGAAAACATCGGGAAGCAGGTTGAGGAATTCGACTCACAGTTTGCCCAACTCGAACCTTCCTTCATCGCGGTGTGCCCGAAGGTGTTCATCTCGTTGTGGACGACCCAACCACTGGCGTTGTACAGAAACTTGGCCGTTTCAGTGCCACGAGGTACCCATGTGTCTTCCATGTAGTCCCAGAGAGCAGTCTGCGTCTCACCCAGACCTGTCTGGTCGGCTGCCCAGTAGTTCATCTGTATGTTGATGTTGGCATGATAGTCTGCGCTCCACGCAGGCCAAAGCTGCTCCGTCCAACGGCCCTGAAGGTTCGCGGGTAAGGAGTTGGCACGAGAGGACGTGATTAGAAGGTAGCGGGAGTAGTCGAAGAGCAAAGCCTCAACATAAGGGTCGCCACCGTCGGTGTACACGTAGTCAGAGATCAGTTGTCCTGTCTCCTTCTCCTCGGAACCTTGAGTATCCGGAAGGTTCAGCTCGAAAGCACTCTCCAGCTTCTGGTAGTCAGCGATGTGGTCCTTCAGGAGTGTATCAAATGACTTCGATGCCGCATCTGAAGTCGTCTTCTCAACAAGTGGACCGGGATCTTCTCCTTTGAAAGAGTAGTCGCTCTCAGCATTGCCGTTCTTCTGATCGTAGTTCGTCTCGCCTCCAATGATGATCGTGAGAGCCTTCTGGTCCTTCTCTGGGGTGACAGTCAAGAAGTTTGCAGACGTGCAGTTCGTAATAGCGGCGTCCTTGTTGATCCGCGCGATGGAATCGAACTTCATGCCTTCTGGCGGGCCGAGCTGAGTGACGCCGGCGAAGCGGACATGACCATCACCACAAGACACATTGTACGTGTCCTGTTCCACAAGCCGATTCTCGTAGCCTACTTCGACCACTGGCAAGGCCGCTTCCGAAGTAATGTGGTATACGCAAACCTGGTCCGGATACGAGCAGAAATGAGAGATCTCGAATGCTGCGCCGTTAGCTACGAACTTGGTGGTGTGAACACCAGTCTTGAGGTCGAGAGTTCGTCGGTAGTCGCTGTAGTCGCTAACGCCCTCGATATTGACCGTCAGGTTGGCGAGGACGCGGTTCGAACCGTATTCATCCCCAACACCAAGCAACGGCGACACATCTAGAAAAACAATCAGTTACGCTGGCCCAATTGTGAAGATCTAGCCGCTTACCTCCGGTTCCATTCTCAAAAATCGTGGCGCGAATCTCCGGGAGAGCTTCATATTTGGGTTCCGTCGGGTTGCCGCCGGTGTAGTTCTGTTTGAGTTGAGCTGAAATCCTTGCCTGCATGGATGTGGGGACTCACTGAAGCTCCGAAGGGGCCACCGGCCCAAAGAGAGTCAATGTTCAGGTTGACCTTTTCCGAGCCGGGAGGGCCAAATGGGATTGCTAAAAACAGTTTCAGACTTGCCCATGAATCTGACTCACTCCGCCTTACCACCAAGTTTACCATTGCCAACTGGGTAGCCAGTCTTGAGAATATACCCGTCTCCATCTCGATCTGCAAAAGTAGCCGGGACGGAAGACCAGAAAGAGCGCGCTTCACACAAGGCGAAGCTGCCCAAGAGGAACCAGCTAGATTGGCCCTTCATCTTGACTTGCGCATACGTTCGTACCCATCACGAGAAGCGCAGATGATAGCACATGTAGTCCTATTTGTACATCGCAACCCCGCGTCTCCCTCGATCGGGTCTCTACCGGGTGGCCCCTCGGAAATGACGATGGGGCCACTCGGGTCTGGGCAAGCAGAGTCGCGGGCTCGGTGTCGGGCGCTGTGAGCGATTGCCCGTATTGCCTCCAAGACCTAATTTCCCTCCAATTAAGAAGAAGTATAGTGACATAAACGTGCATACCCAACCCAATCTAGACCCCGCTGGGATACTGATTCGTTTGCCGGAAAGCTCGGCCAGCTGTTGTTACGCGCTTTTTAGCAATGCGACTGCGGGGTAGAACGGCTGTCTTGGCAGATCTCGGCCGCGAAGCGAATGCACGTTGTAGGTGAGATTGGAAGTTAGTTCCGTGTTTTCATGTTCTACGCAGTCATTTTCTAGTAGCATTAGCGATTCATGATTCGTTGAGTGTTGCATCGAGTCTGTAAATAGTTTGTATCCAGGGTCTCTAAGTTGCCACGATAGTCGTACGCAAGCGTGGCCCATCTCTAGTGAATCTTGTGACTGGCGCGGTGATATGAAAGAGCTCTAATTGAATCGTGATATTACTATTGGAGTGTATTTAAGTATTGGTAGAGCGCGATAAGAAGCTTACTACCGATGATCACAACTGAGATTCTCTGCGAAAGCGGCCGCTCAACATACGATACCTTCACCTCTTGCCGTGCTCGAGAGCAAAGGCAATCAATCGCTCATCTGCTATCCTAGAGGCATGAGGTAGGATATTGGCCATCTTTTAATGTAAAACAGTTTTCTTGGAAGTTCATTCGTAAATACTCTTTTGGATACGAAGAATTTCATTTTGGGAGTAGGTGATAAGAGTCGTCCGAATTATCTGGACGTGCCCCATTATCATGTCATTGCGACATGGCGAGGAAGCGAGGCAATTACTCATAGAGAAAGAAGGAAGACACCATAATCCAGTTGCTACAGAACTGTGTATACGGAAAAACTCGTGTCGCTTTTTTCTACCTTGGGCTTTGCACGCGTTGATGAGGTCTCAATTGCTGATGTTTTGATTCCGACCCCCGGTACATACTGAAGCCAATTCGTCTCACCTTTGACAAACGAAACTCTCAAATGGAGAGTTCAGTATGTCTGACCAATTCTCCAAGCAGAGTGACTGTGATAAACTCACCTTTTACGAATGACGTCTTCGGTTAGCACCGTGTTCCGGTCAGCAGCCTGCGGCACTCTCCGTACCTAGTGCTTACTCTAACTCAGAGAAGGATGGACTTCGGATAGCCTTCCAGGTTCTCATCCAATCAATGCCTTGAATTCTTCGCGATAGTTTGAAGATCAACCTTCACTAAAGCCTGACGTGGGACAGTTTGTGGACAGCGACAGATTGCTGGCCCGGTCAGCGTCCGGCTGGGTGGCGCCAGACCAGGTCTTTAAAGAGCGGAACCGGCCCAGTTCCATGTCTCACTTTTCAACTACATCCCGTGATCGTGATCCCATCCTCCGTATTCACCGAGAAGACGCGAATCTACATATCATGGGCTCAATCAGCAATTTCTCGTGGGAACAAGATATCCCCACCTTTCGGTCGGAGATTCAGGGCGATGTCCTCTTGCCAGGCGACGAGGGCTACGAAGCCAGTCTAGAACGCTGGTCTATCGTGTGCATTAAACCCGCGGTAGCCAATCCCCCGAATAAAATGAGAGTACCCGCACTGATAAGCTCCAGGCCGTCGTAGTCAAGCCAAAGTCAGCACAGGACGTCTCCGCCGCGATCCTTTTCGCAATAAAGCACAGCATTCCCTTCACCACCTGCGGTGGCGGCCACTCTACAGCAGGCACATCCTCCTCCAATGGCGGCATGGTGATCCATCTCGGCCACCTCCGCAGCGTGTCCGTCAACATCGAAAAGCAGCTCGTCAGCTACGGCGGCGGATGCACTTGGAAAGACGTCGACGACGAAGCCTGGAAGCATGGTCTCGCCACCGTCGGTGGAACGGTCTCGCACACCGGTGTTGGTGGCCTCGTCCTCGGCGGTGGGCAGGGAATTCTCAGTGGAATGTACGGTATGACCGTTGACTGCCTGGTTGAGGTGGAAGTTGTGCTTGCGGATGGATCGATCGTCACGGCCTCGGAAACACAGAATGGAGACCTTTTCTGGGCCTTGCGGGGAGCCGGAGCCAGTTTTGGGGTGGTGACGCGGTTCACTTCCAGGGTCTTCCCGCAAGGAAGAGTGTGGTCTGGTCCTTTGATGTATCCGACTTCGAAGTTGCCCGAGCTGGTGGCCTGCGCGAACGAGTTCGTGGAGAGGATGGATGAGAGGCAGTACGTGGTGATGGGGTTCACCTATGGCCCGCCGCCTGACCCGCAGCCGCTTATCGTCGTTCAGCCGTTCCACAATGGTACCGGACAGGAAGTCAAGGATGGCTTATTCAAAGGCCTCTTCGAGGCTGGGCCGCTGGTGGACTTGACGACAGAGATGGACTACCCCGTTGCCAACACTTTGGTAGACGTCTTCCAAGGCCCCGGAGCGAGGCGACTGACTGGCGGCACCAACCTCACGACACCATTCGAGCTGTCCAAGTGGGAAGAGATGTGTCACGAGTTTTATTCTCGTGTGGATGCAGAGACTACGCGAGGCAATGATATGCGGACCAGCATGTTAGCCGTGGAGATGTACAAGAAGGATAAGGTGGCAAACGTGCCATTTGGCGCGACTGCATACTCGAACCGTGGCATGTACTTCGATTGCATGGTATTAACGTGCTGGACGGACCCTGCCAAGGATGGCGAGGTTCGGGGATGGAACCGGGAGTTGGCGCAGAAAATCAAGGGCAGAAACCATACTGGGGAGACTGGCGGCGTGGGACAGTACAACAACTACGTCAGTGAGGAGCTCGATGTGAGGGAAGGATTCAAGGAGAACGCGAAGAGGTTGGTGGAACTGAAGAAAAAGTATGATCCAGAGAACCGGTTCTCGAGGAGCCCTTGGAAGATTGTCATTACGTAGATAGAGACGTCATATCATTGCAAGGAACAGTGAGATCTGGAGGTTACCCTGCTTTCAACGCTTTCAAAGGATTTGACGTTTTAATTGGAGTCTCATCCAACTTGATTCTCGATGCCGGTGAGGTTCCGATCTCAGCCATGGTCTCATCTCCTATGTTTTCTGTTCCTCTACATGGCTCACTTTCGCCCAGAAACAGTAAATTGAACTTAATCAACTTTAACACCTCAGGAAAAACCTTGCATTAGCTGGTTCAAATTTTCAAGATGGATATGAAGCAAACAATTTTATCGTTCTCTTCATCATGTCACGGTGGCAACGCCAAAAGTATCCAGAGGACTCAGGCACAGCAGTAAGCGATTTCCGACCGACTTTGAGATGGATTGACACAACCTGATTGGTATCAGTTGGTTCATCACACGCAGGCGTTGTCAAATGAGGCAATGTTACCCGAATATGCAGACCTAAGGTATACGACCAGAAATTGCATTTTGTGAAGAATTCTTTTGTGAATTTTTATACAACTAGGGATATATAAGAGGTCCCCCTTACTCTAACTACCCCCTATATATCTAATTACTTTTATTAACTACTACTCTATTAAGTTATAGTACTACTTTAAGTTCTACTAATAAGCTCTTTTACTTTAGATAGTTTAACTAGTTTATTTTATAATATAGTTATTAGTTATCTCGTTATTTTTAAATATTTTAGTAATATTTTTAGATTTATTAAATATTTTAAAAAGAAATAGATTATTATAGCTATATTAGTAGAGGATAATATATATATTAGTAAGTAATAGAAGAAGAATATTTGTTTTAAATTTATTATAGTTCTAAGGGGAAAAGCGTTTATTTTAAAACTTATAGATATTATCCTCTTTTTCTCTAATAAACTAAGTAAAGCTATTACTACTTTTAAAGTAATAGTTATAGAAGTAGTAAATATAGTATTATTTTAGTATTTTAGTATTTTAGTATTTTAGTATTTTAGTATTTTAGTATTTTAGTATTTTAGTATTTTAGTATTTTAGTATTTTAGTATTTTAGTATTTTAGTATTTTAGTATTTTAGTATTTTAGTATTTTAGTATTTTAGTATTTTAGTATTTTAGTATTTTAGTATTTTAGTATTTTAGTATTTTAGTATTTTAGTATTTTAGTATTTTAGTATTTTAGTATTTTAGTATTTTAGTATTTTAGTATTTTAGTATAATAGGTTATAATAGTATAAAGAGGGAGATATCTACTCCCTAGCGATTTACGCTCTCTTTATATACCCCTATAAATAGCTATAGAGGTTTCTCTATAAGCTATCCTAGTCTTCGAATATTTCCCTATAAGAGTTATATAGCAGTTAATAAGGTGTGCCTCTAGGCAGCAAACTGCGAAGAAAAAAGTTAGAAGGGAAGAAAGACCAGAAATTGCCCATGCTCCCTTGCATCCTTTTCTCCTCATACTACTTCGAAGAGTAGTCATATGATACATTACCTATCCTTTATTCTACCAAACTCGAGATCATGTTCATCCGACCCCTTGCTTCGACTGAGCACAAGTGTCACACGAAAATGCTTCACAGACGCTCAGAATTCTGATATTCATGTAACCAACGTACAAAGTCCGTGTTGTTAACTGCCAACATACCATCAGCCGTAGGGTCCCGATCAGGCATGTATAGAAGTGACGTTCTGAACTTTTCAGTTGAGTAGCCGAAGACTTCTCCAGATGTGGACAGTTTTCGGACACCGTAGATAGTGTTCTGAAGTGTTATCGACGTCCTACCTTGGCTTGGATCTTGTTTATTCACATATCTAGATAGGATTCGATCGTAAAATAAGCGAATTTGCATTTGATAAACACTACAGAGTGAGACGTATCATTCGAATTACAATCTTGTTTTCAAGCTTAAAGCTTCGTTACGTCGCGTATCGAGTCTTTCTCTTGGCTGCACTTC